TAGTATACATTAAGTAAGGATTTCAACAGTTTGCTCCCACACAGAAACATAAAGTGAAAAATAATAGATGATTTTTTTTTAATGATGATGAAATCAGATCAGACCTATTGTCATGTTTAATCCCAGTGAGAGTCAAGTTGGGAGTTGATAGTTTCTTTTCTTTTCTTTTCATTTTTTTTTTTTTTTTTTTTTTTTTTTACAGAGGATTAGTTTAGTATGCATTAAGTAAAGATTTCAACAGTTTGTACCTCCATAGAAACACAAAGTGAAATATATTGTTTGAGTACTCGTTATAGCATTAAATCTCAATGCACAGCACATTAAGGACAGAGATCCTACATGAGGAGTAAGTGCACAGTGACTCCTGTTGTTGACTTTACCAATTGACACTCCTGTCTATGGCATCAGTAATCTCCCTATGCTCCAGTCATGAGTTTCCAAGGCTATGGAAGCCCTCTGAGTTCTCCGACTCTTATCTTGTTTAGACAAGGTCATAGTCAAAGTGGAGGTTCTCTCCTCTCTTCAGAGAAAGGTACCTCCTTCTTTGAAGACCTGTTCTTTCCACTGAGATCTCACTCACAGAGATCTTTTGCCCGAGTGTCTTGGCTTTCCATGCCTGAAATACTCTTATGGGCTTTTCAGCCAGATCCGAATGCCTTTAGGGCTGATTCTGAGGCCAGAGTGCTATTTAGGACATCTGCCATTCTATGAGTCTGCTGAGTATCTCACTTCCCATGTTGGATCACTCTCCCCTTTATTTATTCTATCAGTTAGTGTTAGCAGGTACTAGACTTGCTTATGTGCTCCCTTTGACTCTTAGTCCTTTCATTATGATCAATTGTGAACTGAAATTGATCACTTGGACTAGTGAGATGGCATTGGTACATGCCACCTTGATGGGATTAAATTGGAGTCCCCTGGTATGTTTCTAACTCTACCATTTGGGGCAAGTCAGCTTGAGCATGTCCCAATTTATATATCTCTTCCCTCTCTTATTCCTACTCTTATGTTTAACAGGGATCACATTTCAGTTAAATTTCAACACTTAAGAATAACTGTGTATTAATTACAGAATTAAACCAGTCATATTAAGTAGAACAGACAAAAAAACTACTAAGAGGGATAATGTATTAAGTTGTTCATTAACAGTCAGGGCTATGCTGATCAAGTCACCGTTTCCCATAGTGTCCATTTCACTTCAACAGGTTTCCTTTTTGGTGTTCAGTCAGTTGTCACCGATCAGGGAGAACATATGGAATTTGTCCCTTTGGGACTGGCTTATTTCACTCAGCATGATGTGTTCCAGATTCCTCCATTTTGTTGCAAATGACTGGATTTCGTTGTTTCTTACTGCGGTATAGTATTCTAAAGAGTACATATCCCATAATTTCTTTATCCAGTCTACCGTTGATGGGCATTTAGGTTGGTTCCAGGTCTTAGCTATTGTGAATTGAGCTGCAATAAACATTAGGCTGCAGACCGCTTTTTTGTTTGCCAATTTAAATTCCTTTGGGTAAATTCCAAGCAGTGGGATGGCTGGGTCGAACGGTAGGGTTATCTTCAGGTTTCTGAGGGATCTCCAGACTGACTTCCATAGTGGCTTGACCAGTTTGCATTCCCACCAACAGTGGGTTAGTGTCCCTTTTTCCCCACATCCTTGCCAGCATCTGTTGTTGGTAGATTTCTGAATGTGAGCCATTCTAACCGGGGTGAGGTGGAACCTCATTGTGGTTTTGATTTGCATTTCCCTGATTGCTAATGACCTTGAACATTTTTTCATGTGCCTGTTGGCCATTTGGATTTCCTCTTTTGAAAAATGTCTATTGAGGTCCTTGGCCCATCTCTTAAGTGGGTTGTTGGTTTTGTTTTTGTGGAGTTTCTTGATCTCTTTGTAGATTCTGGTTATTAACCCTTTATCTGTTGCATAGTTTGCAAATATTTTTTCCCATTCTGTCGGTTGTCTCTTCACTCTCCTGACTGTTAATGATCTCTTTTTTTTTAAATTAATTAATTAATTTATTTGAAAGTCAGAGTTACACAGAGAGAGGAGAGGCAGAGAGAGAGAGAGAGAGGTCTTCCATTCGATGGTTCACTCCCCAGATGGCCGCAACGGGTGGAGCTGTGCCGATCCAAAGCCAGGAGCCAGGAGCTTCTTCTAGGTCTCCCATGTGGGTGCAGTGACCCAGGACTTGGGCCATCTTCTACTGCTTTCCCAGGCCATAGCAGAGAGCTGGACAGGAAGCAGAGCAGCTGGGTCTCAAACCGGCGCCCATATGGGATGCCAGCGCCCATATGGGATGTCGGCGCTTTAGGCCAGGGTATTAACCCACTGCGCCACCGCACCAGCCCCATCATAAACATCTCTAACTAGAAATATGACCTTGGTTTCTTTCTTTAACTTCTTGGGTTTCATTCATTTAATGTATAACAAGAAAGTTTATTATCTAAGATTTTTTTATAACTTCCAAATAATAATTAGCAACACTTATATAGTGCTTACTATCTGTAAGTCGTGGTTGCCATATGTATATTTATACATACAAAGTACACACACATGTAATTCTGGTATGGTTGCTATTGAAGAAACTGAGGCAGTGGAAGGTAAAGTGTGGGGAGCAACTGGGAGCAACTCGGACTAGACTAAGTTACTGGAATTAAGACTTATTCTATGCATCTGCTCTCCCACAATATGGCGCTGGGAGAGGAGGAAACAGCTTCTACACAGCTGCCTCCAGTTCAACCAATAAACTGTAGGACCTGCTCCTGATTGGAGGAGAGCAGCGTACTCGGCATGTGGGTAGCAGAGTTGGGATTGGTGGAAGAGGACTATAAAGGAGGAGAGAGACAACATGCACCAGGAACATCTAAGGGAACATCTATCTGAAGGAACACCTGTGCAGCCCCCAGAGAGCCGGCCGGTGGTGTGCCGCTCCCCCGCGGAAGTGGGGAAAAGTGGCAGGGGGAACCGCCCTTCCACGGAGGTGGAAGGGACGGTAGCCAACCCGGGAAGAACCAGCAGCAAACCCGGGAAGGGCCGAGCAGACGAAAGAACAGCGCAGGGTCCTGTGTCGTTCCTCCGCGAAGAGGGGGAGTGACAGTAAAGTAGCCTGCCAAGACTTGCTCAATGAAGTTGAGCTGGGGTTGAAACCAGGAAGTCTGGCCCCAGAGGCCCCTGTTAACCCACTGTTCCTATCTGGGCTGTCCATCATGTAATCGTATTATTACTTTGATGATTTGGGTTGAACAGCAACAAGATCTAGGAAATCTCTCTTAATTTTTTAGATGATCTAATATGAATAATTGTTAAAATTATGAAGCAGTAATAATATGTTAAAATGGTTGAGTTAGGGGAAAATTAACATGCTAATAGTACTATAACATTTCATAAATAATAGTATTTATAAATCAAAAGAGAATCTAAATCAAACTGAAGTTACTGCTAGAAGTCTACAGTCTTTAAAGGTAGGCATTGGCTTTTAAAAAAAGATTAAAAACCAAGCCAAGACAACATTTTTTGAAATCACATTTAATCAGAACTTGATTCCTTGTGACTCTATTGTTCCTCTCCTGAAATACAAAAGCTCATGGAAAATGTGTTTTATGAAAAAGCTATGTTTTGATTTCAGATTTTTATTGGCACCAAAATAGATTTTTAATTCCATTTTTCATGGACTTTTTGAAGTACCCTCATACAATAAGTTCTGGATGTCATTTTTTTTTTTTTTACTATCTGTTTTTTAAAAGATTGATTTATTTATTCAAATGGCAGAGTTACAGAGAGGCAGAGGGAGAGATAGATCTTCCTTTACTGGTTCACTCCCCAAATGGCTGTAACATCTGGAGCTGTGCCAATCTGAAGCCAGGGGCCTGGAGTTTCCTCTGGGTCTCCCATGTGTGCGTGTGGGCCCAAAGGCTTGGGCCATCTTCTGCTGCTCTCTCAGGCCATAGCAGAGAGCTGGATCAGAAGTGGAGCAGCTGGGACTCGAACTGGTACCCATATGGGATGTTGGCACTGCAGATGGTGGCTTTATCCACGAGGTCATAATGCCAGCCCCTGGATGTTGTATTTTAAGAAAAGCCCAGCCAGCCTGAGGGAAATGATTTGAAGCTGTTTTACATAAGAAAAATTTGAAGGCTTCTGGGCATGCTCAACCTGGAAAAAGAACAATAGTGTCAAATACACACGAAACTGTTACTGAGTAGAGGGGTTGCACTCTGTGAGATGAGAGTTGGACCAGTACGCGGAAGTTAGAGGGCGGCAGACCTCAGCTCTGTTACTGGCAGCATTGGCTGGCTTATTCACCATAGCTGCCTTTGTAGTAAGATTCTGAAGCAAACACTGGGTAGTCTGGGGAGGAGAGCTTGTAGAGCACATTCCGTCCTGATTTGCTTCGATGGGATGAATTTTTAGGAACCTTTTATCACCATGCTCAGCACATAATAGGTGCTCAGTAAATGACGACTTAAAAAAGGAAGATGAAAAAATGTTCTTAATATGTAAACCAAAATTAATCATAAGGTGACTTACTAGATTCTGTGTCCTCATCACAAGGGGTGATTGAGAGGGAACAATATTTAACTTTAGGTAGGTGTAAGTTTTATTGCTTTCTAGTTCTCTTGTATAACACAAGTCTTCATAAATCGTGTCATACTTTCCAGGGAAAGGTAAAAGAAGGAAATAACTAGTTTTTACATGAAAGATTGCTATGTAAGTTTTAAAATATACACAGTTCTGTATGTGCATACATCTCAGCTTATTAACTAATCAGCGTTTTGGTATTAGGCCTATGTATTTGCATTTTTGCCTTCATAGCATCTAGCCCAGAATCTTTGTGAAATAAGTGAGTGCTTTCAAACTCTGTGTGGTGTTGGGAGTGGAGTAGTTGTTCCTAATTCTCATCATTAGACAGAAATAAACTCCCTTTGTTTCACTTCAGTGAACCGAGTTTGAATTGTGGTTAGTGTAAAGGAGAGCATACTTAATGGTTGCTGCTTTATAGGTGCTTGTGAGGGAACCCTGGCCTGCTCTACCTGCCACCTCATCTTTGAAGAACACATATATGACAAGTTACAGCCAGTCACTGACGAGGAGAATGACATGCTTGACCTGGCGTATGGACTCACAGACAGGTACGAGGGAGGACTGCCTCAGTGGTATTTATGGCCTGAGAAGGTAAATGTTTTATTACTTTGTCAATTTAAGACTGGACTGAACGAATGTGGAAAACAACTTGGGTAACATCACAAATTTTGAATGGCAAATATGCAGCATTTCTGTTTGTTTTCACTGTTTCACAGTTTAGCCCTTATGAAATTTTCCCTTTTACAAAAAAGTAAAAAAAAAATTAATTGGAGGTATTATAAGTGTAAGTTCTAGATCTTAATAAATCTTTAGTCTATTTTTACTCCAGGAATTAACATTTATTACAATTTAATGAGATGGAATTAAATGTAATGCTTTTTATAGTGTTTCTGAAGGATAGATTTGATAATTGAACAAAATTATAGTGGAAAATTTTACCTACTTGAGAGAACAGAATTTTTAAAGAAACTGAATATAGAATAGTAATCATGTTAAAATGAATATTTCTTTTTCTAAGTATATGTTAAAATTAATCAGAGCCTATTGTTGTTAATTAATAGGTAGAGTTACAAATAGGTAGATTTTATAGTAGAAAGTAACATCAAGTGATCCCTAGTCTGGGTGGAGTCAATGAAGATAGCTAATTGGCTTACTGTTTCAAGCAGTAAGATAATTGAGGGTGTGTTACTTAATTCAGGGTGCCTTTGTTTAACTGAAATTTGGTGACCCTAAAGAAAAATAATATTTGAAAATTAAAGATAATCATAGGAATAACCTTATTCATTTTATGTTTATTATATAATCACAGTTTTATTAGCTACAACATCATGTTATCCTCACAAAAATATTTAGGTCATTTGTATTTATTTACAGATGAAGAATCATACTGTCCCCTTGTAGCTCATTTCCCTCTTGGTGAGGTGAGTCTGGTACCCTGGAAGACACACCAGGAAATAGTATTCTTTAAGACACCAAAGCAGAGCCGATTGTGGCTCCCATGTGCTTGTCCCCTGCTCACATCTTCAGGGCTACAGTTTCTGTTTTTCCCTAAAGATTAACACAGAAAGACTTCTGGTGACTGTATTCATTTGGTTTTGAGAATTTTGTCTCTTAGTAAGAGGATTAAATCTGACTGCCCTGTTGTTATGATAAACTTTGTAGGTACACATACATACCAAATGAAAAGAGAAAGGAAATAAAGGAAAAGGGAGCGCTCCAGGTAGAAAAGGTACAGGATGTAAAAAGATACAGAGGGGGCAGCTGCTGTTGCATAGGGTACAGCCACCATTTGTAGCTCCGGCATCCCATGAGGGTGTTGGTTCCAGTCCCGACGGCTCCAGTTCCAATCCACCTCCCTGGATGGCCCAAGTGCTTGCGTCCCTGCACCCAGGTGGAGTCCTGGAAGAAGCTCCTGGCTTTGGCCTGGCCCAGCCCAGTTATTGCAGCCATTTGGGGAGTGAACCAGCGGATGGAAGATCTTGCTCACTCTGTCTCTCCTTCTCTGTGTCTCTAACTCTTCCTTTCAAGTAAATTAAAAAAAAAAATACAAAAGGTCTGTAATAAATGTAAAGTAGCCAGGAATATTGATAATAAAATTTTTAATTTTTAGAAAGACCTGTGGTTTTATTTTTTACTAAATATTACATGCTACCTATCTTTCAGGCCCCTTTTAGCACCATCACCACTGGCCAGTAGTGGTTCTTTTTCCTCAGACCTCTCATAGCCATTTGACTTTCTGTCTCTTATCTTTTGTTATGGTCTGACATGTCAGTTATGTCTGCCTGTGTCCCTTCTCTTTATTTGATTGAAAGTTCACACAGAGTGCTGGTGCTGTGGCTGTGGCGCAGCAGGTTAAAGCGCCAGTCTGCAGCGCTGGCATCCCATACGGGCGCCAGTTTGAGTCCCGGCTGCTCCACTTCTAATCCAGCTCACTGCTGATGTACTTGGGAAAGCAGCAGAGGATGGCCCCTTGGGCCCCTGCACCCATGTGGGAGACCCAGAAGAAGCTCCTGAATTCAGATCAGCTCAGCTCTGGCTGTTGCGGCCATTTGGGAAGTGGACCAGTGGATGGAAGACTGATCTCTCTGTCTGTACCTCTCTCTCTGTAACTGTCTTTCAAGTAAAATAAAATAAATTTTTTTTTTTTAAAGAGCTCATACAGACATTAGCAGCTAATCCTCACAGCATTCCTGTGAGGAGCCTTCTTGTTACCCATGTTGTGAATTAGTTTAGTAGACTTACAGAAAGTTGCCTGTAAACACACTGCGTTAAGCGCAGGATTCTGGACCACTGGTATGTTTGGTTCTAACCACGGTGCTGTCTCTTTAATGTGTCCCTGGTGCTTACCTAGCTCATAAGAGGTGTTCTAATACAACTATTGAATTGAGTGGCTTCTCTTTGTATGCCTACTGGCATTTGGTACTGTACCTTTTGGTGCTTGGTGAATGCTTATTAGTGAGCACATTAATGAAACCAAGACTCAGGGGCCGGCATTGTGGCGCAGTGGGTTAACGCCCTGGCCTAAAGTGCTGGCATCCCATATGGGCGCCCGTTCGAGTCCAGCTGCTCCACTTCTGATCCAGCTCTCTGCTATGGCCTGGGAAAGCAGAAGATGGCCCTAGTCCTTGGGCCCTTGCACCCACGTGGGAGACCCGGAAGAAGCTCCTGGCTCCTGGCTTCCGATTGGCGCAGCTCCGGCTTTTGCGGCCAATTGGGAAGTGAACCATCAGGTGGAAGTCTCTCTATATCTCTGCTCCGTTCTCTGTGTAGCTCTGACTTTCAAATCAATAAATAAATCTTTAAAAAAAAAAAAAAAGAAACCAAGACTCACATACCACATTTCATTAAATCAAAGACAACTTGATTATAAAATGAACATTTATTTTTATGTGAAATTAAGAAAAACATTGCTGGTTAAAACATGACACAGTGTCATCACTTAATATTTGTGCATAATGAAAGAGTTATTTAGACTTAATTAAACAAAGTTTTAAATTACAACTGTTTAAAAAAGAAAAATATAAATAGATAATTTTGCAAAAAATAAAAAAGGAAATGAAATACAGTCATTGTTCCAGTGACAAAAGTTTGCTTCACTAATCTCGAGCTTACACCTGCTGTGTTTCTGTGTTGATTTTTGTTCTGTGATCTATTTGGACTTACATTGAAAAGTTTTTAAATTCACCTGTGGTAGTGACAGTTCTCATAACTGAGTTGAAGAGATGCCTGTACGAATGTTGTAACCGAATTTGCAGCTCTCACATTGTTCCCACAGTGTAGCAGTGACTACAGGATGCCACTGATAGAAAGATTGTCTTGGCTTCAGAAAGTATGAAAAATATGCTCTTGGCTGGCGCCGCGGCTCACTAGGCTAATCCTCCGCCTAGCGGCGCTGGCACACCGGGTTCTAGTCCCGGTCGGGGCGCCGGATTCTGTCCTGGTTGCCCCTTTTCCAGGCCAGCCCTCTGCTGTGGCCAGGGAGTGCAGTGGAGGATGGCCCAGGTGCTTGGGCCCTGCACCCCATGGGAGACCAGGAAAAGCACCTGGCTCCTGGCTCCTGCCATCGGATCAGCGCGGTGCGCCGGCCGCGGCGGCCATTGGAGGGTGAACCAACGGCAAAGGAAGACCTTTCTCTCTGTCTCTCTCTCTCACTGTCCACTCTGCCTGTCAAAAAAAAAAAAAAAAAAAAAAAAAAAATATGCTCTTACCATGGATGACTTAAAGCTAGGTGTTCCAACTTTCTTGTTTTAAAGGCTTAAATATAGTGTAGCCTTTTTTTGGTGTGTGGTCTGTATAATAGTAATTATCTGGAAATTGATTAATCATTTTCTTGATCTTACTAATAATCTCAGTTCTCTTTTTCACCCAAGATGTGCCTTCTGAGGATTTCGTTGCTTGTCACCTCTTTTTTTTTTTTTTTTTTTATAAGATGTATTTATTTATTTGAAAGAGTTACAGAGGGAGAGGCAGAGCCAGAGAGAGAGCTTCCCTCTACTGCTGCTTCGCTCTCCAAGTGGTTACAATGGCTAGGGCTGGACCAGGCTGAAATTAGGAATGAGGAGCGTCTTCTGGTCTCCCACATGGATTCAGGGGCCCAAGCACTCGAGCCATCTTCTGCCGCTTTCCCAGGCACATTAACAGGGAGCTGGATGGGAAGTGGAGCAGCCGGGTCTCAAATTGGCCGATGTTGCAGGCGGTGGCTTTATCCACTGTGCTGCAGTGCTGGCCTTGCTCAGCAGCTCTTCCATCGACGTTATTAGTTCTAGTAAAACAGTTATCAGTAGGAGATAGAAACCAAAGGCTAACATGGAACCTTGGCACACTAGATTTCATTACATCTGTTTAGACAAGGAAACAAAAAGGTTTATAAATTCTGTAACTGCTTTGGATAGGAAAACGTGAGTAGTATATACTTAATTCTAAACTATTCTTTCCCCCTTTTTGTACAGATCACGGTTGGGCTGCCAAATCTGTTTGACAAAATCTATGGACAATATGACTGTTCGAGTACCTGATGCAGTGTCCGATGCCAGACAATCTGTTGATGTGGGCAAGAACTCCTAAGCTAGAATAAATAGAAACATTTTACACAATTGTACCTATTTTTATAATTATTATGTCTTTAATAATGGATGAGTGGATTTATTATTATGACTAGCTTTGCTGCTTTAATTTGCCTTATGACTACTGAAATTCATAATTCTGAATATAAGCAGTTTTTATTTTAAACTACAAAAATGTCTGTGAAAAATGAGAAAATAGCCAGTAGGATAGAAACTTGACCTATTTTCCTTCTGTATGTGTTGATCTATGTCTGCTTACCTAGGAGGAGGGTTGATGAAGGGTTACCCTTGTTTGGTGTGAGTGAAGGCAGGGACCCAGAGTGGCTTGTCTAGAACTGTACAGCTGATGATGGAGTGCATGCTGGAATCTGGATCTTGTTCCTGCAACTCGTGTTCACCCTGGAAGGGGGAAGTTACAGATGTCCTATTTATACAGTAATTAACAATAAGTGTATATGGAAAATATTTAACTGCTCAGTAAGCTGCCTGATTTAAAAGATAGTTATTAACTTTATAAATAAGGATTTCAAAATTTTGATTTGGTGAGCAGTCTAATTTTGAAGATAGGCATTATAATACTGTCAAAACTTGATCTCCATTCTGACTAAACTAGAGGAATGAACTAAAATTAGACGACTTTATTCTGTTCTAAGCAGAATTGTCTGTCTTTGTAATCTTTAAAAAATAATGCCAATATATAAATCTCTGCCTATGACAATAGAAATCTTGTGAATTGGGTTTCTCTGTCCTGACCTGCGGAAGAGAGTGAGCTGCCGGCCACACAGCACATCCCCAAGAGATACCATTCTGTCACCCAGGACCAGAGCTGGGTGTGCACTGTGATGCTGTCTGAACACTGTTGGTTACCAGTTATGTATGGAAGGCATTTGTATACTTATTTTTTCATAAACGATAATATGGGTATACACAGTATCCTCTTTGGAAATGCTATAAAACATTAGTTAACTTGAATTAATTGTGAGAGAGTGCAGGACAAATTAGTAAAAGTAACTTAGAATTCAGTTAGCTTAAAATACGTCATGACAGTTTAATCATTTGAATAAATCCTCATCAGGTGTGTATTTGATATGCAGCATTGTGTTGTCCCCTTGGGAATGGAGATGAATGAGGCAAGGGGTGCCCACCAGGAGCTCACCTGCAGTAGGAGAAGGTAAAACAGGTGTGCACAGGTAATAATGCACCAGACTGACCAATTTGCCAAATACAATTTCAGGTGAATCAGTGTGTGACAAGAGAATAGAAAGAACTCGAGACATACAATGTTCATTTGATACTTAATAACTGTTGAATGCTTTCTGGTGAAAAAAAAATTTTCTCAGACTTAAAATTAGGAAAGTTCAAATTAATGAAGTTCAATTGTACTACCTAAATAAAACCTTCTAAATTTGTTATTAAATGGGGGATATATTTACAACTGATTTATATAAAGGTTATTTTCCAGTTTGAAAAAAAAATCCTATATGGTGAATGTACATTCTAGGTGATTGTGTTGGTTTATTGTTACAAAATAAATTATTCCAAAACTTTAAAAGTTAAAGACTTAAATTACTCCAAGAATTTAAAAAAACGACAACAGGAGTCCTTTTTCACCTCACAGTTTCCTTGGGTAAGAAATTCAGAGAATGCAGAGCAGGCACGGGTTGTCTCTGCCCCAGTGTCTGGGACTGAAAGACCAGTTGCTGAGGTTGTCTGCTGGCTGGTCCCTCATGTACCTAGCCCCTATTGGCATCCAGTGGGGGTCGAGCAGGGGCTGTTGGTTAGATACCCACCTGTGGCCCCTCCACATGCCTGGGCTTTAAGAAGGCAAGTGCCTTAGGAGAGGTCACACATGTGTCCGTCTTTGACCAGGTTGCAGAAGCCACACAGTATCATGAGGAATTAGGGAGCTGGTGTTGTGGCACAGTGGGTTAAATTGACCTCCCATATCAGAGTGCTGGTTTGAGTCCTGTCTGCTCCACTTCCAATCCAGCTTCCTGCTAATACATCTTGGGAAAGCAGCAGATAATGGCCCAAGTGCAACCCACATGGGAGACCTAGATGGGAAGTGAATTATCAAATTGGAGATACCTTTTTTTGTCTCTTTCTCTCTCTTTCTGTTACTCTGCCTTTCAAATAGTAAACTCCCTCCCCCTTTTTAAAGAAGGTATTATGTTTGCACCATTATTTAAAGGGGAGTTATCAAAGAATTTAATGATATGTTTTAAAGCTGTAAAGATTATGTGTTGTCTTTATTTTGATGGCTCATTTATTTTATTGTGTAACTCCTAATGTTTTCCCTCTTGAAAGGAAAAAATGGGGGAGCTCCTGTTCAGTGCTGTGTAATTTGAGTTTACTCTGTTGTTTTGGCATCAAGAAAGGCATCTTCCTGTGGCTCGCAATATTTTGTGTGATTGTTGGTTATGTGCTAATATTTAATATTGCATTTGACTTTCACAGATAAAGCCAACCTAGCATTACATAAGTAATTTAGAACCACTGAATTATTTTTAAGTGAGCCAGTCTAAGAATTTCTAAAATCTTTTGTCTTTCACTGTGGAAATTTCTCATTTTTCTGTCTTAAAGGACAGCTTTCCTGTTAATACCTATTTAAGAATCATAATGATCTGTGTGGTCTGTATGGTAGGCAGTGAGCATTTATTAGAACAGTTACATTTCTCTTGAAAAGCTGTCTTCTGGAGCTGGTATTGTGGTACAGCAAGTTAAAGCCATTGCCTCCAATGCCTGCATCCCATATCAGAGTGCTGGTTTGAGTTCTGGCTTCTCTGCTTCCAATCCAGCTCCTTGATTATGTGCCTAAGAAAGCAGAGGAAGATGGCCCAAGTATGTGGGCCACTGCCACCCATTTTGGAGACCTGGATGGAGCTCTGGGCTCCTGGCTTCAGCCTGCCCAACTCTGACTCTTGTGGCTGTTTGGGAAGTGAACCAGTGGATGGGAGATTTCTCTCTCCCTCTCTGTCACTTTGCCTTTCAAATAAATAAAGCTTTCTTGAGAAAGTGTAAGGGAAATTTAGTCTCTTCATATATTTTTCCATATTTTCTTTGTATTTATACCTCCTTTAATTGCTTTTCCTTCCATGAACTAGCTCAGATTTTGTGATGAACTAGATTTTGGATCAGAATTTGTTAGGTGTCTTTCTTATTTATGAGAGAACTTACCATTCTGCAAATAAAAATAGAAATAATGTTTTGTGTGAGCATTCCTAAAAATAAAGAATGACGCTAAATATAAATCCTAGTAAGATATTCAAAAATTATGTATAATCTTTGTTTCCTATTAGAGAAATATTGAATAGAAATATGATCTTAGTTGAGCAACAAGAATCCTTTAATGTGTCAACACATCACATGATATCAAGTTATTTTTATCAGATCTTTTGTTTATAACTTCCTAAAAAATGAAAAATTAGACAACCAGCTGGCAGGAGGAAGGCATGATCACTAGCAGACACAATAAATTGTCACCACAGAACAGTGTTGGGGAGTTAAAAGATAAGCACATTTTGAGAGGAGCTGATAGGAAAGACGTTTGCAGTGAGAGACATCACTTCTGCAGTAACTGTTAGTAATAACTCACCATTATCTCCTTTTCTTTTTGACTCTTATTGGCTGATATATATTATTTAATTTTTAAACTTTTTAAAAAGATTTTATGTATTTATTGAAGAGGTAGAGCTACAGAGAGATATGGGGAGAGACAGAGGTCTTCAGTCTGCTGGTTCATTCCTCAAATGGCCACAACAGCTGGAGCTACGCCAATCAGAAGCCAGGAGCCAGAAGCTTTTTCTGGGTCTCCCACAAGGGTGCAGGGATCCAAGCACTTGGGTCAATTTCTGCTACTTTCCCAGGCTATAGCAGAGAGCTGGATTGGAAGAGGAGCAGCTGGGTGATGAACTTGTACCCATATGCCAGTGCTACAGGCAGGGGCTTATCCTACAGTGCCACTGTGCTGGCCCCTGATTTTTAGACTTGATTTGAAAATATAAAATTAAGCAGAGCCAGTGAGCCATTCTGGCTCCCCTTTTGTACCAGCCATTTCTTAAGTCAACAGCGTGATTGCCTCAGTCGTTGCTATGGCATGGATGTATCTCCAATGTTTATGTGTTGAAAACTTAAGATGTGGTGCAGCCGTGGCGAAAGGACCTGTAAGAGGTGTTTAGGGCAGGAGGGCTCTGCCATGGTGGATGGGTTAATGTCTATCACAGTAGCAGGTTCTTGATAAACGGATGTTTGACTCCTCCCCCCTTCCTGCCCTCATACTCTCTCAACCTTCCCCTCGCACTGTGTGTGATGCAATATGAAGGCCCTTGCCAAGCGGCCTCTCCATCTTGGACTTCCCAGCTTTCAAAAGTCTGAGCTGAATAAACTTGTGTTTATGCTCAGTCTGTGGTGTTGTGGTAGAGCAGGACAGACTGGAGTAAGGCAGTAATTTCCATCACATTCTCACCTATCCTGTGCTGCCTCAAACCACCCCTTCCACGCTTTTCTACATAACAGCAGTTAGCACTCGCTACATCGCCCCTGTTCTCTGATGGAATAGCACTTCACTTTTTTGAGAATAAGAACTTCCATGTCAGTTTTCTAACTGCAGTGTCTATCACAGTATTTAACTTCCAGGAGATACATAATAAATGTTTAGATTACTGAAACCTATAAGAAATATACCTGTAGCCTGTATCTCTATAGCAGTTACATGTTAAATGAGCTCACTGTGGACCAATATACTGAGTCTGTGTTCTATTTCCAACTTAAAGGAGTCAAGATACATGAGATTGTTTTCTTGAGGTACCATGTAAATTCCTCTGGCTCAAGGAGGACTCTCTTCAACGCATTACTCCCTCCTCCCTTGGCAGTTGTACCTTGGATCCATTAGCTTTTGAATGATCTTAATGAAGATCACTCTGCCTTTTTTTTTTTTTAAAGATTTATTTATTTATTTGAAAGATGGAGTGACAGAGATACACCTTCCATCAGCTGGTTCACTCCCCAAATGGCTGCAGTGGGCAGAGCTGGGCCAATGCTAAGGCAGGAGCCAGGAGCTTCTTCCAGGTCTCACAGGTGGGTGCAGGGGCCCAAGCACTTGGGTCATCCTCCACTGCTTTCCCAGGCTGTAGGAGAGAGAGCAGCTGGGACTCAAACCAGCAGCCATATGGGATGCCAGCACTGCCAGCGGTGGCTTTACCCACTACGCCACACCACCAGCCCCTCTGCTGGTTTTTGACCTTGTGGCTTAGCTGTCACCTTAGCCTCTTGAATCATGAGAATTAATGCCTCCAGACGAGAGCCCCACATCAGGAAGTGTCTTTCATTGTGCTTTCTGACGTCCTCAATGTTTTCTCATCCACACTGGGCCTCCCATTGTTTCTGGTGAGGATTCCTTAGACCAGTAGAGAAGGGATAGGTTCTCACCGAATATTTTCCTCAAGCAAGCAGGCTCAAGATGGAAACACTGAGAAATGGTTTTCTTTTTGTATATTTTCTGTTTTAATTTTCTTTAATAGAGCCTTTCTTGTTTATTATCTGAGCTCCAAAACTTGAATGAGCCTCAGAAAAACAGCAAAGCTCTCTCACTTGATGGTAGAAGAATATGAGATTTATCATTTGGAGACCTGGGTACTGTTTGAAAAATTACCTAAAACTTGCAGGCAAAGCAAAAGCATTGAACAAGTCCCTATAGAGGTATACAGAGAGAAATGTCCAGTTGAGTTCCCCGAGGATCATCAGTTATTCTAGGATAGAGAGGTTGGCAAACTGTTTTGTGGGTCAAATCCAGCTCACCTTATGTATTTTTTTTCAAAGTAAGGTTTGTGGGAACACAGCCATGTTCATTCATTACTTACTGCTGATAACTGCTCTCATCCTGAAACAGTGGAGTTGAATTGTGACAGAGACCATATGGCCTATAAAGTCTAAAATACTTAGTCTCTGGCCCTGTGCCCTGTGTTTGCTGCCTCCTGATCCAGAGGGAGGTGACTTGAGTAGAACTTGGACCTTATAAAGTTAGACATTAACTTAGAAAGGAGTGGTAAGTTGCAAAAGTTTATTTGGTAGAAAAGATAACTGAGAGTTAAGGGTTTCTTGCCTTGTAGGGAGGGCATTACCCAGTTTTGCATATGCATGAACAGTCAGTATTACTACAGCATTCTCCCACTGCCCCCTACTATGTATGTGTGTATCAGTTTCTCATGTCCTTTGAACCAGTTTTGTCGTTTGTATGAAATATAAATTGTTTACTTTTTAGAGTAACATGGGTTCTTTCAAACCACACAGTTCCTTCTAATATTCCAAAAATTTTGCTACATGGAAGCCTGTTGCAAAAGGGCCAACAACACTCTACCAGGTTCTGCCATGTTCTCAGTATTCCTTACCCACTAAACTGAATCATGTCAGTTTCAACATTTTAAAAAACCAAGCTCATTTTTTCTTCTCTCATGTCTTCATAGCTCAGTCTCATTTTCAAAGCATGAGCATTGGGTTGATCTTGTCTGATAGGTAAGCCGTTCTTTGAGCATAGCTAGACCCACTTTGAGAAAA